CAGTTGCATTTACTTTGATTAGATTGTTAGGAAGGAAGGCGGTTTAAATTACAGCTTAATTAAATTAATTAAAGGCCAGGTACGAGTCAGGAAATAAGTTTCACAAATTAGAGGAAATTTTTTATTCCACCATATTTTTGGGCAATTCTTTCAAACCTACACAGTATCTTTCAATGTTAAGACCAAAACTCTTGAACTCGGATGAGATTCGAACCTGTGACATCCTCCTTGGAAGTGTCACAGTGATGCCATCAGACAACAAGACACTTGAATTATCTCACCGTTTTTATGAAGCCATCTCGGCTGTTTATGTTTAATCAAAGGACTTTAATATATTTTTCACCCACTCCATAATCTCTTCAAAGACCCACCACTGCACATATCATTATCCCTTGAATAATATTAATTGCTACATTCGTCCCACTAATATTGGGACGAAAGGAGTGACACTATTACTTAAAAAAAATGGTTTTACGTGTGATATTAATTGATAAAGTAAGAATAAAGTAAGAATGATTTAGAACCACACAAACTTTACCAAATTTACCATGTCGCAATTTTAGTGGATTTCCCGAAAAGTATTTAGCAGGACGGAGGAAATAGTATTTAGTAGTTAATTGGTCGTTAAGTCATATCCACCGGAACAGGCGTGAGGGAAAATTAAAGGTGGAGGTGAGTTTTGAAGGACTTCGTCAGTTAATCTCCTCTAGCTAACTAAAATATAACCACACATTTTTTAAGCATTGTGCAATTCAAATTATTCAATCGTGCACGTTAAACAAGGGATGGAGGTAATATGCATTTTTGCAAAATAATCAATTTTCTAATATTAGTAAAATTGATATAATTCCATGACATAATCAATATAAATAATCTTTAAAATGGTCTAACACATTGTTTAAATAATTAATTTTCAAAGAAACTAATTAATGATGGGGAAGCCCTTATTGGATGGATAATTCATGTCCCTAATTGGATGGATAATTCTTGGTATTTGTTAATAAAAAATGTTTGTTGCTAATCCCCTTGTCCTGGATCAATCTGTTCTATTTTAATATGCAAGTGGACCCCTCTCTTAAATAGATGATTTTATGTGGACTGTTTTCGGTCCCAAATAAGATCAACAGAGTACACTTAAAAACAACAACATCCAAATCTTAGTTCCAAATCAACAGAGTACACTTAAACAGATCAAATCGGATCAAATCAATCTTAAATAGTTCAGACCAAATATACAATCATGTCACATTTTGATAGTTACAAAATACAGATAAACTGGACATCTACAGAATAGTCCAGATGAGATCAAACCAAAACTAGGCTTAAACACATCAGATCAGGTCACAAAATTCTTGTCCAATTATATTAAAAACATTCTTGTCCAATTATATTAAAAACATGTAGTGTGTTGGAAACAATAAAAAGGGCCTAATATGTAATTATTTAAAATGTGTTTACCATCAGATAAATAATACATCGGCTATTCATAAAATAATAAAAGTGTAGATGCAGGATAATATATTTCTTTTGGGAAAAAAATATTTATATAAGTAAAAGGGCCCTTGTTGATTTATACTCCCTCCGGTCCCAAATGAAATTCACACTTTGACTTCACACAAATTAAGGAAATAAGTTTGACTTTACTGTAGAGTACACTGTTGTGACACTGTTTTGCACTGTTGGATAATTTGTCAAATAAGGAAGGGAGAAGAAGTGTGAAGTTTATTTTGGACCTACCCAAAAAGGAAAGTGTGAATTTCATTTGAGACCAGAGGGAGTATATAAAAGTGTAGATCTCAGGATAATATATTTCTTTTGTAATTTTATATATGAATAATTGAATATCCATCAGAGTGCTCTCTTCTGATCAATATCTGATCTTCATAAGATCAAAACAGGAATTGGCAAGCTGTCTCCAGTGAGATGTTGTCCATAGTAAAATCACACTTATTTAATGACCGGGATTTAATCCTATTTGATTTCCAGACAATTGTTGCTCTTTGCTAGGAGATACAGTAGGGTCTATTGTCTATCTATGCAACTAATATATGTCCCTATATACAGAGCCTCGCTAATGGTATTGTATAATAACCTACTCGCTTCATCACACCCTTCCATGATACTCCGTATACTAATATAGTGGACATTTCACATGCACAACAGATTGTGGTTTACACATACATAGATCAATGTTTTCACATTGAATTGGTTTAAATCTCAAACTAGATCAAGTCATCATATTGAACTGAATTAGATTACACTTATACTAGTATATAATAATAAGGAAACTAACATAATAAAACATTTTCACCTGATCAACTGGATTAAACTAGCAAATTTCAATCCTTATAAACGTATCACATTCTTAAGACACAAAATTCAATCATTTGATACTGTTTTTGTTATTGTTTCTTGTTCTTAGTTAACAAATTCAATTACATTAACTCATTTGTATTTAATAGGATCGGAATTACCCTCAATAGGACTAAAGTTTACCTAAAAAGTACCAACATGACTACTTCTTTTCTATTCCCTTCATATAGGACTAAACAATGATTTCTATCCTAAATATCCCTAAGGGTGTTAATTCATAATTAATGTCCCAATTCATAACAAAATCATAAAAAATAATTAAAAATCGTAAAAAATAATAAAGTAATCAGGAAAAATATAAAAATTAATAAAATACTTATAAATATAAAATTAAAAAAATTGAATTTCTTTTAAAAAAATTAATAAAAAATAGTAAAACCCCATAAAAAAACAAAAAATATGGATACCTTTCCCACCACCTCCCAGCACCACCACCTCCGATCGGGTGAAAATTATGGCATTTTTTGTAAAAAATGTCATTTTTTCTGAAAATGCCAAGAAAATGGCATCATTACTCTTCAATTCATAACGCCAAGATTTTCATTGAATCTGCCATTATTATGGCATTACTAGAAATGTTGGAAGATTTCAAAGCGGTGATGGGAAGTGGTGGTGTTGGGGGTGGCAGAGGCGGCGGTGTTTTTTTTACACTTTTATTATTATTTTTAATTTTTTATTTTATAAATATTTTATAAATTTTTTACTATTTTTTTACGTTTTTTATTATTTCTTTACGATTTTTATTATTTTTTATCATTTTATTATTAATTAAGAAATTTCAAAAGCTATAAGGGTGTATTTGTCTAAATACACAGAAATAGTCCTACCTTGAAGGAATTTAAAAGATATATCTTTTAAATAGGATAAAAAAGTGTCATAAGAACACAAATAAGATTATCTTGAAGGAATTTAAAAGATATATCTTTTAAATAGGACTCAATCACTAAATAGAAAACTAGGAAATTTAAACATAAGTGATTGGGTCCTAGGAATGAAAACGGTTAGTAAGAATTTGGGATGTTTTTACTTGAACTTAAAGTTTTAACATTGATCTTGTCCGATTTGAAATGGTCTGATTGATTTAATCTGATCTGATTGTGTTTACTTTGTCCTGATATGTATGTCCCGGTCTGATGGGTTGAGTGTGGTCAATTCTCTTCCGATCAGATAAGTTTTGGTGATCTAAAATTGAAATTAATCCAAGAAAAAGTATCATTCATCTATGCAAATACCCTTTCTTTTTTCTAGTATGATAAATGTGTTCATCTTTTTTGTTATGGTCTAATTTGATGTTCTTCAACTGTGTCAACACAATTGATAGTTACAAGTTACAACTGATTAATCATGAATACTTCTTATAAAACCTAATAAACTATTATTTGGGCAGACGTTTTCTTGTAAGGTATGATGGTTTATCATACACCGTCCTGATAAAAGCATTTCAAAGTTGAGGGTCCTATAAGTTTAATGCGATTAGAATGGTTTGCCTATGCAGGAAGGACTACTTCATGTGCTGATGTCTCTCTTCAAAGACCCAAAGAGGCCCCTCCTTCACCATTTGGACACATATATATGTACATATATATACCCCCATTCCCAAGTAGCCAAAAACCAACTCAAAACATTCCTTCATCTCCAATAAAACCTTCAAGTTTCAACACATTCCCCTCAGTAATTTGCAGAAAGAAAAAGAAAGATCTTATCTTTAAAAAATGGGTATCATCAAGAAGTCATCAACAACAAGGAATGTCCCAAAAGGCCACTGCGCAGTTTACGTAGGAGAGAATCAAAAGACAAGATTCGTCATCCCAATTTCATATCTAAGTCAACCCCTGTTTCAAGAATTGTTGACCAAAGCTGAGGAGGAATTTGGGTTCACTCATCCTATGGGGGGTCTCACAATTCCTTGCCGGGAGGAGGTCTTCGTTGATATTGCATCTCATTTGAGCAGGATCTGCTAACCCACTCCTACAGCTAAAGAAAAGAAGATGAAAAGAAGTTAAAGAACTGGTTTTTATCATCAAGTCTGATATGCCCGGCCAGCCAAGACTTGCACCATTTTTTCGAGATGCTGTGAAGCATTTCGTTTATTGGCACTTAATAGATAGAAGAAATATACTGTAGATTTTATGGTTTGTGAGATACACAAATCATAGTAGTTGTTGATTACATGTACAAGTTAATTGACTTACAACAATATATATATTACAATCAATTCCACTTTTCCTCTCCATCCCATACCTATAGTACTATGAGGATGTTTGGATAAGCAGAAGTCTGAGTTTTTTTTATGAAAGTGGAGAAGTGATTTTAGTGCTCTAATTCATTTCTAGAATCGGTTTTTTTAGAAGTTGGCGGTGACCAGCTTCGGAAACTGATTCTGATTCTGCTTCTGCTTTAAAAAGAAGCAGGAGCAGAATTAGTTCCAAACACTTCCTATTGATTCCAGTTTCATATTCAAATCCTATTCAAAGATGTTTACCTAAAAAAATCCTATTCAAAGACTCAATAACAACCTATAATGTTCGGGGGCGGCCCTAAATTAATAATTCTGTCCGGCCTTATAGCCCAATGGCCCAAGATAAGTTGGGAGTATTACGTAGACTTCTTCCTTCCTTCAGAAAAGAAAGACTTTTTAGCCGAACCGGCAAAAGCGAACGCCAAGCCGACCAAGGAAGAACGAAAAAGGAGCGACTCGATGACCAGTTTGACCACGGACGGCGGACCCTTTGACCACGGACGGCGAACCCTTCACGCTTGGCCGCCTGCGGCCTGCTGCGCTGGCAGTAGTGCCCTGCCCGGCTGCCCCTTTGGCCTTCCCGGCTTTCACCCCTAGGACCCGTTTAGGTTTCAGGTACTCCTCGTCTTCTCCAGCCTTGAGCCTCCTTCCTTAATTAATTGATTACTTTTTTTTTTCGAATGAAACGAAATGTCAGCCTTGAGTCCTTGACTCTTGAGCCTCATTCATGATTTGATTACTTTATTTGTTATTTCATTCATAGTTGTTTACTTGTTTTAGTGTTTAATGTTTACAAATAATTAATGGAGAGTTGATAAATAATTAATTGATATTGGCTTTTGAATGTTAATAATGTTTAGTTCATATTTTTAATTGTTGACTGTTATTCATTGAGTTTTGGTGTTGTAATTTGTTGATTTTTTAGTTGAAAGTTTTCAATTACAATTAAATTTATAAATTTAATTAATTTTAAGATGTACGGAGTAGTAAAAAGGTTGAATCCGAATGACAAAGACAGTGTCATTACAAGTCTTGATTTTGTGAAGATTATGAGTTGCTATCTGAACATAATAATTGCTTATAGGATACTATTGAACAATTGCTTATAGGTTTCTATTTTTTAATTTTGAATCCGTGATTTTACTATGTTTAATTTAACGAATTTAAGTTTTTTCTTTTGTTTAAAGTTTTTTCTTTTGTTTAAATATTTTCAAATATTATTATTAGGCATGTTAGTTTGGACCGAAAGAGGGTTTACATTTTTCTTAAAGATCAGGCTCATTTTAAATATCCACCCCTAGGCCTTGAGACATACAGAACCGGCCCTGATTATGTTCAACTTGCCCGAATGTGTTCAAATATGCATGATTTAATTTTATGTATTTAATTTGATAATGTGTTGCATGAAAATGTAAACGCCAATCTTTTTAATAGAAAAATAGCTTTTCGGAGAGTTCTTCTAATAAAAACACTTTTTCGGTGTTTTTCATACTTCATAGACTGATATTACATTTCTCTGACCAGAACTTGGCTGGTTAGGCATATCAGATTATCAGATTTGATATATGTCGGTTGTGCTATCATAAATTAATTTCTTATGTTAAAATCAATGTTACTATGATCATTATGGAGTATTATTTTGAAAACAGAGTGCTTTAAATCTATTGATATTCTATATTGTACACTATGTCAACTATCAGGTATGACGATTCAGTCGATTGTGCAAGCTGGACCAAAGACCATAACACAGCTCTTGGACCATTTCACTGAAATAAAGAATCTAAGAGTTGTTAGGGCAATTCATGCTCACCTGCTCATAACAGGGGTAATATCTTTCACTCCCACTCTCCAGACCAAGATTGTATTTGCGTACACCACAAGCCTTCCTCCGAAAAGCAACCTCCTTCTCTGGACCTTAACCGATTCTTTGAGAACCCTTAATATCAGAAATCCTTTAATCTTTAATTCCATTATCTCCGGCTTTTGCGAACACGGCTATCATTCACTTGCTTTGCAGACCTTTTCTTTCATGCACTCAAATGGTGTTTACATAGACTCATACGCGTTGTGTAGCTCCATAACTTCTGCCTCTTGCACCCAAAATCTCGAATTTGGTGAAAAAGCTCACACCTTTACGGAAAAGTCAGGTTGGTTTTCTAGTGTGTATGTCGCTTGTGCCATGATCGACTTATACTCGAAATTGCAATGCATCAGTAGTGCAGCTTCACTGTTCGACGAAATTCCCACAAGAAACAGTGTGTGCGCTAATGCACTTTTGTCCGGCTACACTGAGTGTATGATGTGGGAGGAGGCACTTGCATTAGCCAGAAGGCTGCCTTGTTTAAATTTAGAGATGGATAATTTCACGTTTTCCGCAGTTTTACGTGCATGTATTGGGATTTCTACAGTTGGATTGGGAATGCAGGTTCATGGATGTGCCATTCGTAAAATCCGTAATTTGGAAACCGACGTATTCCTACAAAGCTTGCTAATTGAAATGTATGGAAAATGTGGGCTCTTAGAAAAGGCTAGACAAGTCTTTAGAATGACAGCGAGAAATAGAGATCTTGTTCTATGGACTTCAATGCTTGGTGTTCTTGGACGAAATGGGAGTTATGAACAAGTGATAGCAGTGTTCACAGAAATGGTAAGCAAGGGAATTAAACCGGACGGTGTGTCTTTTTTGACAGTTATCTCAGCTTGTAGCCACACTGGCCAAGTGAACCTTGGAATGGAGTATTTTGAATCAATGGCTTGTGATTATGGATTAGAACATAGTCCAGAGCACTACAGTTGTCTGATCGATTTGCTTTGTCGCGCAGGAGAGTTAGAAAAGGCATGGAAATTTGTAGAAGAGGTTTCCTCCAAAGTTAGTAGGGGTTTCACTGTTTCCACGTGGGGAGCATTGCTTAATGCCTGCAATGATAGTGGGAATGTGGAATTGGGTAAATTTGCAGCTAAGAAGGCGATTGAGTTGAATCCTCATAATGATGGGATATATGTTCTGTTGTCCAACTTATATGCAAAGAACAGTATGTGGAGTGAGATTGAGGAAGTGAGAGAACACATAAGAGGAAGGGGGCTAAAGAAGGATATTGGCTCTAGTTGGATAGATGTTGCGACTTGAATTGCACTAGTTCTTTGTGCTAAGAAACCATGACATGTAAATTATGAAGGCCCCAATTGGCGGCCTTTATTGGCTTTTTCTTGCTTATTACACTTGAGCAGAATATGAGTGTGTTTGGTAACACAGCAATGGGCTGAAACGGCAAATTGGGTGAAACTGTGAAAGTGCATGAGTTGTGGCTGAATTGGCTAAACATGCCACAAATTCCCATATACATGAATATTATTATACCACAACAGCTTCATTCAGCAATTTCATATCACGATAGCACCACCCTGTGTGCCTTGTAAATCATTGGCATCACTGCAACATTCCAAAGTCTAGAAGGGAATACACAAATGATTATTCGTATTAGGTAATATTTTGTTTCATCACTGCATTATATGAATATTCACGCTTTTCACTCATGTTTCTCAAGTGTTGTTACTTGTTTAATGTAGGACTGCTTCTTTACGCAACAATTGGATTTGTCTAGAGATTGGGAGTTAAAGTAAAAGTATTGCATCAGTTTTTGACATTTTTGGGAAGACTTGCTCCAGGGTTCTTTGTAAAATCTCTCATTTTCGCTGCAAGCTTTTGTGTAACCATTTTTCAGTAGAGGTTGTGATTAAGAAGAAAATGGGTGCCCAAGTACTAGCTTCTAGATGATGCCTTTGGTATAATCATAAGAAACTGTTGAACATATGGTCATTAATTGAGGGTATGTTTTGATCCTGGAAATTGCTAGGTAACGAATATAGGGAATAAAATATGGGGCAAAATTTTAGGCATCAGGGGAAATAAAATATACATTTAAACTCAAAGAATTTAGTTGGATTGTTCATTTTATATTTTTATTTATTTCATTCCAATTACAGAAACAATATAAAATCTTAATATATGTATATCAATCATGTTACATACCAGTACATTATTACACTTTCCTTTGCAATTTAAATAATTATCCCAAATATGTGTAATATATAACTACTTTCCCAAAGAAAGATAACATGTATTATGGGTCATATTTGGAGAGACTTATTATGCTTTAGTCCTAGTCTCAAAATTTGTCTGGAATTTTACAACATAAAACCAAACATTTTCTTCACATTTTTTGCCTTTGCATTTCCCAAAGTAAAATCAATTATTTGAAGCTAACTTTCATTTGCATTTGTTTTCTTTGCATTGGCATTTCCCTGGACCCAAACACACCTTACAAGGAAGGTGTTTGATAAAGGTGTTGGAAATTCTGTGTACTTTGTGATATCAAAGTTGCTAGATTCAAGTCTCAAAAGTCAAAATGATCCCTGGTAGTACAAAAAACATTATATACCTAATATAGAACAGCCCTGCTTCTTGGACATGCCGATTTGTACACGCTGTGTACACACCGTCAATGAAGGCTACTTTTGTCGGTGAATAGCCCGTTCACAGCGGCTTGTACACGACGTCTACAAATCACCGTGTACAAACAGTTTTTCTGTATATAAGCGTGGTTGTGATAGTTGAGAAAAACTTGTTTCCTTAAAAAAATTGTCCCCTTCATTTGTTTCACCATTTTTTTAGCAAAAACAAAATTAGTTGTTATCATTTAATTATGGCTCAAAGATAACGCAATACGGGATGGAGGATAATGATTCCAAACATAGCTATGTGGCATAGAATGAGCGGCCCTTGCAAGATTATGGGCCACCCATACACAAACTGTTCCACCATTTATGTGCTTGACTGGGAGAACACCCCCAAATACACAATGAGTTTACTTTCTTTGATGTCAGCTCTTGACAACTATTCTACTGATATTTTGTGCATGTAATCTATCTGGAGGTCTTTCCTTTTTTGCCAAATGTGTGTGGCCATTTATGGTTTAAAGTGAAATATAGAAAATGGGGAGAAAGAAAATGAAGAGGAAGAGTTTATATTATTTTGGTTAGATAAGAAAAATAAAAAGGAATTGAGGACAAAGAAAAAAGCATGTGGCTCCTTATTATTTCTTTTTTCTCTCAGGCGCAGCTATAGGAAGGAAACAATACCAACTAGGATATGATGTTTGCATTTTCTTCATTTTAAACCCTTCTTGGCATCATTATTTTGTATTCTGATGTGGACAGTTTTCTTTTCAACAATATAGTTATTTCTCTCTTATTTTTAAATAGACTTCATTCCCTTGTCTTTATTTTGGATATATTCCTCTTATACCGTTATACAGAGTATCAGATTAATTGTGTTTCTAAAATAAAACAATAGTACTGTCATTTACTCGTTTTCTATTCTTTCTTTCTTACTCTCTCTCTCTCAAATCATACTCTCCTAAAGTGCTGTCCAACTTATTAAACCATTTTTTGTTATATATTAAATGTTGAGCAGTAAACCATGAGGACTCCACATTTCATAAAATAAACAAACATAGAATGATAGGATTCAACGGTGAAACAAACAAATCACAGAATTAACAAGGAATAGTCTACGACAGAGATCTATTGTTAGGGAGTTGGGCCTTTAAATTCATATTGAGGAGTCAAAGTTTCATTCTATGCTGTGAAAAATGGGAATGAGAACGATCAGAAAAGGATGCACATTTTAATGTTTATGACGACACGCATTCAGTGTATTCCCAAAAATGTATTCTCAGTTTTTGACTCAGGATAATGTGTTTGTATTTTACAATTGTCAAATCTAACGCTCTAAATTCATTCTCATTTCCATCTTTAGATCATGTTCTCATATGATCTACATTCTTTATACTACGTACAATTTTCAAATCTATCGCTCTAAATCTTTTTATTACATAATATTTTACTCTTGTCCCAATTTGTCTAATTTGTGTGGAAGAGAGAGAAACAATAAACAAACAAGAGAATAACTTAAAATGAAAAGTGACAAAATTTTGATAAAAGATGTACTTGAAAAGTGTAGAAGTATTGCAGTGTAGGAAAATTTTGATCAAAGGTGTTCACCTAATTTTTTAGGTGAATGATGCTTCTTATTTTAAAATGATCATTTTAATAAAATGATCGAGGCATTTCCCATCAAACAAAAAAAAAACAGTCAAATCGTGACATATCACATTCTAAAACATCCCCAAAACAGACAAAATAACAGCTAAGGTCCGGAGAAAAATTCCGATCATTTCAGGAGGATAGATCCTATACAAAGTTTTAATTAAAAAAAAGTTATGAGGCTGGATATAGTACAATTTTGTCTCCTCCATCTACCCGTACTCAATGAATGATATGCATATAATGTTTTCTCCCCGTACATATTAATTATTGTACATATTAATTATTATACTCCCTCCATCCCATAAAATTCTTCATATTTTTCATTTTGGGCCGTCCCAAAAAACTTTTCCCACATACAAGTACTATCTTTGGACAATTTGTGTGGTTGACATTCATTTTACTTTTTTTTCTTACACAACCGCGACCATACATTTCTAATTTATTCCACTTTTTTAATCTCCGTGCCAAGTCAAAGTTGGAAGAATTTTATGGGACGGATGTGTAATGTATACTCTGTATTTATTCTTGCCAATATAAAATTGTTATAAACTTATATTTTAGAAGCACCTCAATAGTTTATTCATCTTTCGTTGCAAATGATGACTTCAAAATATATGAAATAATTCTTAATATATGATCAAAATAAGAATAACGGGATAAAAATATGATTTTGTGACGTTTGGTAACGAAAAACCTGTTCTGATATATAACATGAAATACAAAAGTAGTTTTGCCACAATAATGTGGGAGTTGAGTAAGATGAAAAGAACAGACAATTAATGTGGGGTCGTAGGTGATGTTTATAAAGGAGTTGCAAGTAGTTTGCTAGCTGGTAACATTTTCAGGTCGAGCCAGCTGAAGGGGGTGGGCCGGCAAGAGTAATGTTGTCTTTTTCCATTTAAAATCTCAAAATAAAACGCACAAAATTTTCTAATCTACACACAATAGTTGATTTTGAAATTCCCATTGATAGAGTATAATTTCAACCGTAAAAGCTAATCATGATGGGTTAGTGTGCAAAAGTAAATATTCTTGCAGTTTAACGTAGTATTATTATTCTAGAGGTGAATCTCTTTTGTCATAATTACAAGAAGTATTTATAGACATCGAGCTATAGTAGCATAAAGAGAGATAACTGATGCATTTAATAATTTTAAATTTTTAATCATGAAAGGACTTCTCTAACGTATTTGTTGTAACTCTGTATTCAATCCAAGGAGCAAAGCAGGAGGTAGTATGAGTGGTGTCAAAGTAATATAACACGGTATATTGTCTTACGTAAGAGTCCATTTGATGACCTATTTTTTGACTTATCAACACACTTTTCATCAAACATATAACGTTTTATTTTGCGCGCTGAATTGTGTAACAATCAAAATAAATAAGGTTAAGTTGCTTTTTGACTGAATTGGCTGAACTACTGTAGATGAAAACTTTAACTATTTTTCCTATATTTTTTCTTTATTTTATTAATAAAATATGTTTTAATTTTTTTTTATTTAGCAGAATCAGTCAATCTAGCCATTTGAGTTAGAACTTCATAATTTTCAGTAGAACCAGCCCATTTTGACAGTTTCAGTGTAACAAACGGGCTCTAATAGGAGTACCATATTATTGTTTCACATTCTAATTAAATATCATCAACATCATGGGAAAATGGTACTTGTACATGCTCGTTACATGTCGATTTGCAAGACAATTGATTTTCATTTTGGTAAAGGGAAGTGTCTGTGACCCACAAAAAGTGAATTTTCTATGTCTAGACAATTCTGGATCACAGACACTCCGCTTTACTGAAATTGAAATCAATTATCTGTGCACAGATAATTATACTCGGGTGTGTAAATCGACATGTAACTCATCATGTACAAGTAGATAGGGGGTGGATTGGGCCTAAGGCCAAGAGGGTTAGGCCCACTCTCATTTTTTTTTCTTAATTAACTACGGGTAGTATATATATATATATATATATATATATATATATATATATATATATATATATATATATATATATATAAGATAATCATATCAGGCTCACACTCATTTTTTTAGTATACAGAAATCTGAAACTTCCGTTCAATCCATTCTCCAAGCCCAAAACTAATAGAATGGCCCAAAATATCAAATATGGTATGATTTTTATCCGTGTACACCATATTGTATACCAATTTTTTTTTATGTAGAATCAGCCATTTTGCATGTATGATCGTGGTCAAGCAGTAGTTGGTGATGAAATGATGACAAAAATACTAATTTTATTTAAAGATGGTTAGCCTAAAATTTCCAAATCTAGGAGCCACATGGTATGTTTTCTTGCTCCTCATTATGAATATATATAATCATCACATCATTCTTTAAGTTTTTGTTTCTCGAAAAATGTTTGGTGTACACCATTTGTATATTTGTCTGTCTTACGCACATAGAGTTGTATGTACATTGACAACCCTACAGAGTTGTCTGTGTATAGACAACTCTGTATGCGTAAGACAGACAAATGTATAAAATGTGTATACCAAGCATGATGGTTCCTTCTCACTATCACCTTCTGCATGGTATCCGTATTATATTATTATGTCTCCCATAAAATTCTTTACAATTTGATTTTAATCTGAGTTTAATAAAGTGAAATACAATGACAATGTATAGTTACGTTGTTAATTAAGAAAAAATGTAAATTGCTAATAGTTACACAAAACTTTTCAAAAATGAAAATGAGAAGAAATTTGTGGTCATTCTAAAATACTCCCTCCGTCCCTTAAAACTTTGTCATCTTTCCTTTTTGGAACGTCCCAAAAAACTTTGCCACTTTCCCTTTTAATCAATTATTTTGTGGTTTCTGTTATTTCTCTCTTCTCTACACAAACCTCAA